AAATGCCTCCACATGCAGCATTTGAACAGGTTTCTTCCAATGCTGAGGCAGGGCAAATACCAAACAAAATATTTTGAGTGAGATCCTTACAGGCCTAAATAAGTGAATGTTCACCCAAGGCCTTGTGAAGCCAAAGAGGGTTTGCTCGACTGACATCCAGCTGTGCCAAAGCTTGTCCCCTTTGACACCAAGGGGAATGTCTTCACCCATTGTACAGGAGCTCCATCCACCCCTTTCACAGCAGGTTGCAGGGCAGTGTGTGCCTTCAAGGGGAGAACACCAACAACGTGCACTCCTGGACAGAGCTGGCAGCAGCTGATGGGCAAGAGGAGAGGGGAAGGGAAAAGGGAGCAGGAAGGAAAACAGGCTCAAAAAAAGAGACTTAAATGTCTTCTTCTGGATGTCCACAGGGGGAAAGCCCATCTTCTGGTTCTACTGAGGTTGTGCTGTCCTACCATCTGGCTGCTGACAATATATGGTGCTAATAATGCCAAGGTCATGGATTTGATCCCCATAGAGGCCATTCACTTAAGAGTTGGACTCAATGATCCTTGTGAGTGCCTTCCAACTCAGAATACTCTGTGACTTTGAGACATTGTCCTGCAAAGCCCAAGAAGATAAAAGAGACAGTCAGAATGTCAAACACGCTGATCTGGTAGATGAGAGAAACTCCTGCAAATCATTTTCTGCTGTGAGGTTTCCTTAAGTATTTTATTATTTCAGGAGATGAGTACCTGTGACTTAAGCAGATTGAAAAAAAGAAAAATAGGAAGACCATGGCATTTGAAGCATAAGAAACAACATAGTTATTACAACAATATAATGGAAGCACCCTGTGAGCATCAGAATGCATGGGATAGGCACTCATGGGACTGGTTCCTTGGGCTTCGATGGGGCAGCTCGTGTAAGGCCCCCATAAGTGTTCACGTCATGGGGACCCGGTGCATGAGATGGAACAAATTCATCTGAACAGCACTTGAGCTGGGCCGAGCTTCCCTCTCCTTTTGAAGTTTCCAAGAGCATTTCCAGCCCTTCAGGTAGGTGGGAGAGGGGGAGCTAACCGTACCTTCCTGCTAGGCGGTTGAAATAACAAACCCTAGTGGGTACTGCAAGCTGGCACCTGGCCAGTAGACAGGCACAGGCCAACACAGAGAAAAGGATTTAATGCACTCACAAAGAATAACTACTGGGGGACAAAAGAGTGCTTGTATTTTTATTCTTTCCTTTTCCTGCTTCCAGGAAACTTTAAATAGATTGATTAGGGGCATGCATGGGATATCTCTCTAATGAGCCAGTAGAGCCATTTAGTGGTGAGGTGATGCCAGCCTTGGATTCTTTCTTTCTTCTTATGTCTTGCTGAATATCAGAGTAGTCATGGTCGTGAATCTGGGACAGGAGAGGAATACAGTTTTCCACTTGGTCATCCAGAGAGTTCTGGATGGCATCACTCCTTAGTGAAGCACCAGGCACAGTGCCAAGGTGTCTAAGTAAGGGTGCCCATCCCTCCCAGGAGGCAAACCAGCAAGAGTGGCTGCTGGCTGCAGTGCAAATGTTCCCAGCCAAGCATTAGCTATAGGATTTGCTTCAGTAATTACCTCTACTTTAGTCTTATGACTCAACATGAGGCAAAATGACTCTTGGCCAAATTACAACTTGCTGAGAGAGGTCTAGGGCATTCAGGCATGTGTCCTCTACCTGTTGGAGTGTGTTGAAAGCAGGTGGGTGGGTTTCGTTCCCTGGTTTTTGCATATCTCACAGAGAACTCAAAGGCTGTAATTATCAGTAGATGCAGAAGTAGGAATGAGTTTCTTATTCTTTAATATTAAGCAAAGACATCCCTGCCACTGGGACCAGCAGAGTGCTATGCACTGTGGAGACAGCACATGATGGAAGGGGATGTTCCCTCTTTTCTGATGTTTGGGGCAAAATCCTTTCTTGTTTTATACACAGGCAAAATTCAGACCACCATCCATATACTCATGGTAACAATTTTATGTCTTCTAACAAGGGGAGCAGTGTTCCCCTAGGTCCCACTCCCTTTGAGCCGTGCTGCTATGACAGTAATGTGATTGTCACTGCCGTGGTATGCTTAACCTTTGCCAAACCAGAGCTGAGGCATTAACTCAGATCCTCAACTCACGTCTTAAAGGGCAACATAACCTGTGCTGCCTCCGCACTGCTGGGTTCACACAGTCTGCAGCTCAGTAATAATGAGCACGTAAATGTGACAAGTGTGAGCCGTAACAATGACTGATGCAAAAAGAAAACTAACAAAGGGAAGCTGAAAAATAGCGATGAGGAGGAATTCCTAGGACCAGTGTCTCCATGGCACCAGCAGCCCCCTGCCCTGACACCAGAAGAGAGGCTACGTTTGCCTGGGGTAGAAAAGATCTCCATGCCACACAACGGAATTCCAACGAACAGGATAAGGACTGATGGTGTCTGGAAGTGGTAGTGCCACTGCTACCCGGATAATAGTCTGAATTAGATGATGTGAAAAAAGAAGGAATATATAGACAGCCAGCTGCTCAAAGGCTTACTACAACCTTGCTTTTATTGTTCTGCTAAGTTAGAGGTGGGGCATCAGAGGGATTCCTTACATACCACTACTGAGAAATTTTAATATGTTCCACACTGACACAGATAAAAAGGAAATAACAGCTGATCATAGTCAGAGGAGCCTGCAGCATCTCTTCATATACATGTACAGAATACAGGCAAAATGCTCTTGGCTCGGACACCCACACTAACCTGACCCAGCTAAACCTTTCTCCTGACACTGAGCTGAGTTTCAGCAAAAGCACTGTCAAGTGGAAAGTCAGGCAGCAGAAAAAAGAGGTGATCTGGGCATGGGTATTCACCCCATCCCGAGATGCCAGGACATGGAGAAGGACAGGGGAGCTGAGAGGCAGAACACTTAACACTGATGAAAAGAAACACATGTTTACACAACCGACAATGATCCGGTGGAACAAGATATCACAGAGGGCAAAAGTTGAGCTGGGCTCAGCAAAAGGAGCTGTTATGCATGGGAGGGTTACAGTCACAGGGGTTTTACTTTTAAAGAGTTTTTGGAAGGGCTATAAACTCTTAGGACACTGAAGGTTCAGTTGATGGGGTTAGGGAAAAATCCTTTGCCACAGCGAGTTACCCTGTAGCTGCCTGCCACGGGGTCTCTATGTCTTCCTTTGATGTGGCCACTTCCAGCCACGCTCAAGAGGTGGATTGCTCAAATAACATGGGTCTGTGGCACAGCCTCATGTAGCAAAACTTTTTTAAAACTCAAGACTCTCCTCATAATCAGGAGGACATTAGAGAGAGAGGAATTTGTAATACTGATAATACAACTATCGAATATTTTTAATTGTATTTACAATAGCGATATTTGGGTATGGGGAGAGAATTTTTTTTTCTACTTTCAGTTAAACAAGTAATCCACCAGATCTGTTGCAAAAACAAATGTCTCAGTGGCTTCATGCAAGCTTTGCACCATAGATGGTCAACTCCCTTCAAGGTCCAAGAACAACCTTGAGCACTTCCTAGAGCATCTGAGAGCAGACAAGCCAGGAAGGGAACAAAGTCAGCCTCAGGGGAAGTGGGGAATGAAGCCAGCTCCAGGAGGACTGCCTGTCAAATGAGTCAAGGCAGACATCAATGTGAGCTCCCACCTGGGCAAAAGAGACTGCAAGCCTGGCAACACAAGCAGGCAAGAACATACAGATGCTATCACGAGCCTCAACGGCACGTGAGGGATTGTTCCAGTGGGACAGGTAGCTTTTGTGGAAATCAGCCATGCATAAGCAGCTACCTGGAGCACTGCTACTGCAAACTGTACACAAGACTACCCATAGCAAGTATCCTGCTCTGCAAGGGGCAGTCAGCAGCATACAGGCATCTGATCAAAACCAGGTGCTGCACAAGCCCAGGAAACCTACGTGGGACACCTTCAGGTAGAGAAATGAGCTTGTAACTAACCAGCAGCAGCTCCTGATTATACCCTTCCCCTAAATCAAATTGCATTTTACTTTGTAAACTTGAAACATCTACTCCTCACAGATTTGCTTTTAACTGGAAAATCTTTAAAGCATTGTTTTATGGTACCAGTTTCCGAAGTAGGATTTCATTATTCCAGCAAGAGCATGTCCATGTATGTATAAGTCACATTGGGAAACCCCTATTCAAGCTGGTAAGTAATTACTCATCCAATAGTTCTATTTAGGTCCAGGGAATTATTCATGTGTATAACTACTCACAGATATGAGTAAGATCACACAGCCTACACAAATGAGCACTGAGCATCATTAGTAACTTAAAAGAATGGGGGGGAAAAAAAGAGGTCCTGAAATGTAGATATTCTTATATTCTTTTGAGGAAGGACAAATAACATCACTGTGATTATTATATCCACATTTATTGACCAAACCAGACAGCTGAGTTACTTCTATTAGAAAGTAACTTTACAATAAGGAACTGATTTGAAGTTAATTTGTCCCCATTGCTGGTTTCAAATAATCATTTGCTTTCAAGTGAATTGTCCCCACTACTGGTTTTAAATAGTTATTTGCCTGTCCTTTTTCAATATGCTGAGTTCCTACCTCTCACCCACTGGGACAGTTACAAAGCTTTAGAAACTGTAAGTAACATTTATCATATAGAAAACATTTTTTTTTCCATCTTTCAAGAGCTGCAGAAACCTTAAAAGGTTACTTGCCATGCCATCTGTCTCAAGCAGAAACAAATAAGATGTGTTATGGGGGGGTTATGAGACCCTTTTAGACGGGGTAGGATAAGAAATGTGCCTGACAGTCCCCCGAGAGTCAGTCCACACATACACCATCTTGTAAATTCAGATTTGTCACAGGAAAATTGCCCCCCCAGCACACACTGCAGTAGTTATCTAACCCGGGACTGAGATTGGTCTGCACACGGTTTATCTTTGTTACTCTGTTATTTGCCACTGGACCCATTCATTTGAACCTTTATAGGATGAATTCACTCACCTGAATCCCAGCAGGGAGACGGGGCTCTCTTCCTCAGCCAGGATCCCCCGGGGCAGTGTCCGTTCCCGAGCCTCGCCAGTGCCACTACACTGACACTTTGTCACTGGGCTCATAACAGTGAAACTCTTCTTTTGTCCCAAAGAAACAGAGAACAGTTATAGTCGTGCCTCTGGCGGTGACACACAGGGAAGTGATCTGCCGGGAACGGAGGAGAGCCTCCCTCTCTCCTTCAGCTGACGGTCTGGGGTCCTGCAGCATCCTCCCTGTCAGCTCCCGGCTGCACAGCCACGCCGCATTACGTGTCACGCTGACGGGGTCGGCTACCTACTAAATATACCCCTCGGCATTACAGCAAAGGCAAACACCGTGGCTTCCCTCACAGGTTTCAGCCAATCAAGAGTGTATGTTAAATCTGTCCTAATGCACAACCAGCCCAGCCCATAGGGAAAGCCTCGCAGAAGTTTGGGTAAATAATAATGTGCAAATTAAGAGTGCTCCCGCAAAGCGTGACACACAAAGCTAGAAATAAATGTTGCCTGTTGTTTCAAATTATTCCAAGCACTCCAGCAGATGACTGGCAAGAGCACAGCATGCGTAAGGAGTGATAAAAGTAAACAGTCCAGCTTTAAACTATCTGGCTTGCCTGTGCTCATAGAGCCCTGTTGCAGTGTGACAAAGAGGGTGCTGGCGATACCAGTGCTGTCTCCATGAATTCAGGGCAGAGTCCAGCCTGTCCATTCACTCCAAAGATATACAGCCAGGAGCAGCACAGAGCTGCAGACAGGAGCCCAGCATGCTCACAAGAATTGATGTTTAACCAAGTTGCTCAGAAGCACCTATTTGACTGCTTACAGACATCCTTAGGACAGGAGATAAAGGTAGAAGAAAAAGAAGACACAGGTACTAGAGCTGTGTCGATTCCATTTAGACACACTAGAGTTTAAAAAATGGTACAAGGACAACATGTATGTCACAGAAAGACAGTAAGCACCCAGTTTAAGTCCATGTAATACCCAAAATCTGTAGGAATCTCTAATTTGTGTACTTACCTTTGGTAAATGCACCACTCCTTCCTCCCCTTGAACTCTTCAGAGAGCTAAAAAGAGGTCCTGTTACTTCCAAATGCTTTTGTTCTTCTGTCCCTCTGTCACATGGCTTGCCTTTTATATTTGCAACACACAAAAGTTAGGGCTGTTGTTTAAGAGAGAGAGGGGGAGAGAGAGGGAGAGAGAGGGAATGTCAAATGGAAAAGTGCCATTGCAGTCATATATCAATCAGGGCAGCAGCAGCAGCAGCTCACTGGCAAATGGGAATTCCACAGAAATGTGAAGCTCTTGTTATCTGAGAAATCACAAAACACCACCAGCCAAGCTCCCCTCTGCAGGGACTTATTACTGGCAAGTCAGGAAATAGAAGGAAATGTAGGCGCTTTTTTAATTGTTGTTATTGTTTTGGATCTGGAGATACTTACACTGTGGTATATGCAAGCCAGTGGAATATAAATCCTGAATCAAATTCCTTCCTGAACAAATGCACTGTGGGCAGGATAAGGCAAACCACTGAGAAGCAAGATAACAGAGCTAATTGAAGAATCTGACAGTAATGATTTAAAGAATTTGATAACTGCTTGCACTGGGAAAATATCCATAGAAAATCTACCTTTTTCCTGGCTTACTCATTAATCTCGTTTTTTTTTCCTGACTAGTTTTTCTTAGATTTTTTTTTAACTGTGATTGATCTCAGATATTCTGAATTCAAGCTGTGCTGTTTCACTACAATTGGTCACCTAAATCATCTGACATTCCCTGGCTCTCCAGTTGGGTAAGCAGACAAACATTTTCTATATAAAATTCCGCTTCTTCAGACAACCTGCTCTGAAATTCTGAAGTTTCTCGCAAACAAACTCAGAAGTTTGCTCACAGAAGAAAACATTGTCTTTCTGCTTTACACACCTTTCTCTGAAGAATTTCAATTTAGAAAAAAAAAATCTTTCAAACCTTTTACAAAAATATTTTGGTTTAGGAAAAAAAAAAAGTATAATTTCCTGAGGGACTGAAGGCAGAAACCATCCACTGGACAACTCCATTTACCACAAACACATCACAGTTCTGGATGCATCAAACTCTCTTCTCTACTTCCACGGGGGAGGGCATTTCACTTCCCTGTGGAGTTGCCCCTAGTCATCCTGCAGCGTTACAGGAAGCACAGACCTAAGCTGGTTAATTAAAAAATAGGCAACATAGCTGGCCATTCACAGGCTGAATCTGTTCAGAGGCACTGGCCAGCAGATGGACGGGGTCCTGTGCCGATTGTGTTTGAACTCTAAAGGAAATTCAGTTTTTGATGGATGATGTTATCAGCTAAATGTCTTATGTGGTATAAGATCAAAGAACAGATGGAAATTTTGCCTTAAAAATAGAATAATCCAAAAGTGGAATGGTCTGTAGTTGAGTAAGCATCATGGAAACAATAAAGGAGACTTTCTTTGGCTTGCTTTGTTGCAGAGCCAGGTTTGACTGGTGGGATAAACAAATGACCCACTTAGGACTGAGATCCTTGGGGTGTGAGTTTTGCTGCACATTTTTTCCCTCATATTCAGTGTTTGCACTGTTTTGCCTCTTAAGTCAATCTTGGGTTTCTCTCGCCAAACATGTGTGTCCCAGATCTCTGCTTCCTCTCAGGTGCCACCACAGTCACTCAGGGTGGGTGATGGCAAAGCTCACCAGCATCTTTTCCTTGCTGTAACTGCAGGATGAAACATTACTGACAATCTGGCACTAAACTTCCCTTAAACAGACAATTTAGCCAACATCTTCCTTTAAAATGAAGGCTGTTGGCCCTTTGGTCATTGTACGGTTGTGTTGTCTCTCTTTTTCCATAGGCAGGAAAGTGATTTACACATTCCAGTTATTTACACTAAGGACCTGCCATGTGCAAGGCCTTGCTAAGTAGCTCCTGCATGAAATCCTCCAGGAGATAGTAGATATCCTACTCATGGACCTTACCGAAAATGTTGCTTCAGACTTTTTTACTGGTACAGCTTAGGTTTCTTATATTTGTGTCATCTACAGGTAAAAATATCTGTATTAATTTTTGTTGGGTACCAAGCATACTTTACACACTCAACAATTACCAATAATACCTCTAACAGTGGAATTTCTGAGTGCTCAGAATTTTACTACCACAATATAAATTCCTAATACAGGAAAATAAGCAAAATATTTCAAAAAATTTGAAGTGACTTTAAATTTTTTTATCTTCAGCTTCCAGACCCTGTTTGGCAGCCGGTGGAAGTTAATCAGCAATTAATTGACTGCACAGGCTGGTGACTTATAAACTGACACTCTCATTTGTGGCCTTCTGAATGAACTTGCACAAGATCACAGGCACAAAAGCAGAAACATCGAATGTAGCCTCCCCCACCTCAAGAACATTATGGCCCATAACTTTTTCATAGCTGTTCATAAATCTTCAGCCTCTCTCAACTTCTGTGACTTAATCCCACCCATAAAACGAGTCATTTTGAAGAAACAAATAAAAGTGGAAAGCACAGGAGCTCAGAGCTCAGTTTTCAAAGACGATTAGACATCTGAGATGACCCCAGATATTAGATAATATTTCCAGAAGATTTAAGGTATCTACTCCTATCAGTTCTGATCTGAGTTCCCTTCAGAGGGAGTTTATCTCACTTCAAAGTAGTTACCTGAAAACAAAGTGTAGGTTCTTCCAGCAGCAAATGTAGAATTCCTGTCCCAAATTACTTTCGGTACAAGCCCATTTCAGATTGGCATCAATTGCAAATTTTGTCTCTGTCAACAACCACAAATATTCTGCTGACTCAGTTGAGCTAAATATCAGTTTTTTTAAATAGAGAAAACCACGTGAGACAAATCCCTCCCTCAAGGACTCATGCTGTAATTTTGAAGAGATGGAGATCCAACTGTACATGGAGTTCTACCAATCTCCCTGGTTCAATCCCCATAAGTTCCACCACCATATGACCTACAAGACTCATGTTTGTCCTCAGAAAAGTATTGTACTGCCACTACCTGCAATTCAGTGGGATCCAATTGTTTACCCTGTTGGCATTACCAAATTCAGTGTTGCTTCCTCAAAGGAGCAGGATTTCATGTCTCCATCATGTATGTGTTGTGAAATGCATTCAGACTTGTGCAGCAAAATCAATATGTCATTTTCATCTGAAGGGTTTTACAGTGCTGCCACTTTGCAGTCTTCCCCAGGCAATTTTTACATTCTGAGACAGTGGATAACAGACCTCCATGTCCAGAACTCAAATGTGCTGTCAGAACATACAGTACTTGGTATTTGTGCTGGTTGTGCCTGCAAAGATGGTGAAAGGAGTACACATGCAAGGGCAGTTTTTAAACGTACATATATACTCATCCACAGACTATTACTGCAAGCAGTCAGAGGGAGTAGGATGCATTGGAATGCTTTTCAGGGAAGGATAATGCTTTGTTCCATTACTGAATTGGTGAAGGGTGTTTTATATTTGGGGATTGGCCATCAGTATTCTTTTCATAGTTGGGAATGTAGGAGGAACTGAAAGTATTGTATTGACAGTCTAACAGCAATAAGCAACATAATACTTATATAACGAATATATACTTCATGCAGATAGGAGGCACCCAGAATTCTTAGAAGAAGTATTTTCTATCATTTTAATAATAATAAAAAAATATTAGCCAAACACTATTCCTAATAAATAAAATTACACACCCACATACAGAAATGCAGAACCAGGTGACACAAAAGTCTGTTTAGGCACTCAAATTTTTTTCATCTCTTCTTTCTCCCCATGCTGCTTTATTCAGATTCATTATGGAAAGATATTTAAATACCAAAACACATATATTCTTCAGTAACCAGAATGTGCCACTTCTTTCAATGTTTATATGTATCAATGAATGTGAGTTGTTAAGAAACAGCATCTGGAAATGTTTTTTTGGTTATTTGTACAAACACAGTTATTACAGCAAGGCTCCCTTCATCTAGGGAATAAGGCTGCTATGGAAAAGACTGTGAAAACTGGTGAAAGATTGAACTATTTTCCTATTCATTTTGTGATAGAAGTCCAAAAGACATATTGTCTGTGGACAATAGCCTGTAGGTTGACTTGAAATTGTGTCTCTCCCACAGATTTTTCAAGTTCTTTTAAAACCCCTACAGGATTGCTGGCTGAGCAAGGGGCAGCACACCCTCACTGGATAGCAAGCACATGCTGTGCCTCCTCAGACTGCCAAAGTGTGGATTCTTTGGTGTCCTTCTCCAGGACAACAATAAGATGCAATACTGAAGCACCACAACTTCTTACATGCCCAAGGAATTGTCCAGAAATTTAATTTTCTCTGAGACCTCAGCCTTGCTGTTAAAATTGGCTGAATTTGGGTATCTGGATGAAAAACTAAAAGGAGACACTAACATCAGGGCAGAGAGAAAAAAAGGCACTTCAATCCTATGAGAAAAATATAAATAAGAGAGTAAAGATGTCTCTTTTCTACCTTCAGGCTGCTGCCAGGTAGAGTGTCTTTCTTCTAGAAGAGACTGGGGCCACCATATTCCCCATTCCCATCACCCTTGGAGCAACTGGCTGCACCTCTCTGGTGTCCTTTGCCACTGCTTTATACCTAATAAAGACAGAGGACAGTTACTCTGTTTCCCTGAACTTCAGGAACATGAATGAGACTCTTGGGAGATTTATCCACCCTCCCTGAAGGCAGCTATCTCAGTCTCAGCTGGGCTCCTCTTATTTTTGGTGGAAACCACAAATAGGCACTGCCTGAAGGGCTGTTCACTTGCTCATGATAGGATGAGGTGGGGCTGCCTTTTGACAGTACCTATTTATCTCTATTATCTACAAAGGGAGCCAAGAGTGACTGGTTCAAATTTAGTCATCCAGCTGCTGAATGCCTTGGTTAGGGTAGATGAATTCCACCTTTAAGGTTGTTTCAAATTATCTTATAAGCATATGTGGTAGATACGTAACATACCAGGTAACTGTAGTTGCACATGGGTCAATGTTAAATATCTCACTTTGTTTGCCAAGGCTGCAGGGAAAGTTTTGCATCAAACAGTGTGGGATAATGACACCTGATGTGCAGTGTGCAGTTTGCAGCATATGCCTTCCATCTGATAGGGGTAGAAAGAGTCTCTCTTTGAAAACTTG